ATATATATATAAGGGATCCTTTTACTCTAGGAGTAAGTCTACCTAGAGTTATTCCGTTCAATAACTCATGTTCTACATTAAATTTCAACGATCCAACCGTTTAATTTAAAATTCCTAATGCATATAACAAATATGCAAATTTTTAGAAAATTTGAAAATCATTTGATACTTTGTTTCATTAATTCGAATCAATGTATAAAATTATTTTATACATTAATTCGAATTAATGAAACGAAGTATCAAATAATTTTTAAATTTTCTTTAGAAAATTGTGTTTTAATATTTCAAATTATTGATAATACATATGAAAATAATAGATTAAGATAATAATATAATTTTAATTGAATTTAATTTGATGTTTTTATTAATAAAGATATTAATAAATAGATTTTACACTATAATATTTTACATATTTTTTAACAAAATTTGAATGTTAAAACTAAACTAATACTTTTTATAATAATGTATTCACATTTTCCATGTTAAAAATTATGTATTTCTTGTATTTTTATTTTGTTTGAAAAAGTAAAGTTAATATATTAATTTTTTGAAGTATTTCTTCATAGTATTTCTTCATAATAGCTTTTCAATATAATATTAGTTTTTTTTTATTTATATCCTTTATAATATTATTTTAGAAAGTGAATATTATATGTATTATTTATAGTAAAAAAAATTAATCACAAAATTTCTTATTTTTAGCCTATCTAAAACAATCTAGAACGATACTTATTATGAAATGAAGAGAATACTATTTATAGTTAAGTCAAGTTAGGAAATAGATTAAGTGATGAATAACTTAAATTTATACTATATTATTTTTAAAATGAAAAACATCACAATTTTGATACGAGATATAATTTTTTCTAAAGTGTTGAAAATAAAAAATATTTAATATTTTTAAAATATAAAATGAACAAATTAATATATATTTATATTTAACAAAATATGAAATCATATGTTTAATATAAGTTATATTTATATTTAACAAAATATGAAATCATATATATGTTTAATATTACAAACTTATGTATGAGTCCTATCCCACTGCCCACTGGTTAAAATTTTTAGATCCGTAAATGAAATGATACAAACATTACAATTTATAGCGGCATTTCCTCTAAATAACGAGATGTTATTTCATCTGTACAAGTCTCGAATTTAACCACTTCATGTATATTTTCACTCTGTGTTTTACCTCTTAAACATTCAATGACGTAAATCTTTGTAAATGATAACCACCAAATGCGCAAAGCTCTCTCCGTCAACCAATTAAACACATAATAAGCCATAAAAAGAAACTAACAATCCAAATACACCATGGTGTTTAAAGATATATATCGGAATCAGGAGTATGATTTAATTCAACTATTTAATGAAAAAAAAAAACTTTTTAAAATTAAACAATTAAGTACAACACATCAACTTAGCTTAAATTAAGTTATTAATTTATCTACGTAGAAACCGATCCATGGTGGGAAAGAG